GCGAGTAGTTTATAGGCACCCTAACAGTAGGTACACTAGCATAGAATATACAGAAAGAAAGAAATTGAGTGTGTTACAACTTCAATAATAATTTTTAATATAGTAACATGGTCTGTGCTTTATATCACTCTTGATCTGAAAGTCATGTAAATTTGGACACTGTGCACACGTTAAGAAAAAAAAATTTGGTATGATTTTGGTAATAGTGGAGTCATCCTGGCTCCTTACTCCAGAGGGTCACAATTGCAGGTACAACAATGGTTTGGTAGGCAAGCAAAACATTGGTTTACAAAGGGAATGAAATATAAAAGTCGGGAAGTTTTGCTGCAGGTGTACGAGGCTTTATTGTGATCACATCGAGAGTGTTGTGTATCCAGAGTCTATGTAGTTTAGCTCTCCCAATTTGAAAACAGATATCTTTGTGTTGAAAGCAGTTCACAAAGGATTTAGTCAGCTCACTCCCAGGATAAATAGGCATAGTATCAAGAAAGCTTGAACCCAAACCTATTGTATTTTATAAGAATGAGCGAGGATCTTATTGAAACATGAGATGTTCAGAGATTTGATGGTGTGAATACCCAAAGGATATTTCCTCTTGCAGGGCAAACTGGAATTAGGGAAACAGGTCAGCAATAACATGTCTCCCTTTTAATAAATAGATGAGCAGCAATGGTTTCTGTAAGGGTTGATCATGTGTGAAACTCTCTTCACCAGAAAGCAAGGGAGGTTGGGTCATTCAATTTATTCAAGATTGAGTTAAAGAGATTTTTTTGATACACAAGAGAGTCAAAGAGTCACAGAATTGGAATTTCTTCCTGTTTTAAAGGCAAAGTTATGAGATAGCCACAATGCTGAAGAGACATCTTAAACAAATTATGGGAGCATGTCTGTTATTAATACTGGGGAAAAATACGACCAATTATATTGCACCCTGGACCTCACTGAGGAGTAGGAAAACTAAGATTGCAGAAATATCAAAGGCCTCGATTACCCATTTTGTACCTGCTACTAATGTTACTTATGAACAAGATATGCTCAATATCAGAGCTCAGGAAGAAACAGAGAAAACTGACCAGTATGTGACTGCACAGCCACATGTAGCCGAATCTTGTGAATTTGGACAACAAGGATGATTTCAGAGAAAGCAATTGCCTTGGCAATAAATACTGGAATGGCGCAGTGTTCAGAGATGGACCTCAGCTATTTACGAACTACATTAATGATTTAGATGAACAGTCAGAGACTAATGTATCTAAGTTGCTGATGACACAAAGCTAAGTGGAAAAGCACTGGGAAGAACACAAAGGCTTCAGTCATTGTGACATTCCACACATTGCGACAAGTGATAATCCATAAGTGAAGAATTCAGGTGCTTCATAATGGATTGGGAGATTCAACACCCTACATCATCTGCATCTTCCTGTCTCCTCATCTCCAGTCAAATGAAAAGACTGAGGCAATGATGCAAATTGCCAAAGGGTTCATAAAGAAATCAAGCAAAACCAGTATGGACTTGTAAAAAGGTAATCCTTGAATGGAGGAAGACACGTACTGAAGGCATGAAAAAATAGTCCAGTCCAAAGTCTAATGTCACATTGCACTCAAATTCCTCTTCAAATAGCAAAAAAAAACGCAAACATTTGAAGGCAGAAGTAGTGACAAGTGTCAGTGACAAAATCAAACTGAAAATGACAGAAAGCTAAATTTCACTTTGATAAAACTGTCAAGTCATTGTTAGAGCTGAACATTGGAGAGCCAGAGTACAAACATTCAATGCTCTCGACAATAAAATTAACTCAATTCAATTAAATTCAATTCAAAAGGTCAGCTCATCAAACCGTATAGATCTTTGGGACGTGCATACAGCAGTTGTAACCTTGATCATATGCAGTTAACATGAATGACCAGACACATTGTTCAAGCGCAGACATCCATGTATAACTACAGAAGCTGTTCCTTCTCGGCTGATAGCAGAACAGGAAGAAATGAGCTCAACATCTACACAAATTACAGAGTAATCTTAAATCCCAGAGGTCACTGTTACCCTGAAACAAAAATGAATCAGCAACAACAGTTACTAAGCAACAGCACTCTCCAGAGAAGGAATAACATGCTATTAATGAGCAGGTATGAGGAACAGCCAACAACACGCATGCATACTATTAAGACACAATTATACTTTGTGTACTAGCTGGCTTGCTGTAGTCACGGGATCCATATATCTGCTGTAAATGCCTTTGTGTGCAGTCTGTGTGACCATTAAAAACATAAAATGAAACAGGTGACATATTTCAAACTAACATGAATAGTTGTCACTCTTGATAGTCAACAAGGCAGATTTAATAACAAATGAAATGTTCACAGCTTTTACCCACTTATTAAAGTTTCATTTTACCACGAGGCAAAGAATTACTGTTGGATGAATGGGGCACTATACATTCTGTTAAAGCGTAGATCATAATTTCTATGATTTTAAAAGATGCCCTGAAGGTTTCTTACTGTAGTGAGGCATGTTTTAATGTAGTCATGCTCATAGAATCATACTTTACAGCCAATAATCCAGACACCACCATCGCCATCACCATCCCTGGATATGTCCTGTACCACCAGCAGGACAGATCCAGCGGTAAACTATCGGGAGGGAGTCCTCAGCATATTCTGCACCCCATGAAGTCTCATGGCTTCAGGTTAAACATGGGCAAGGAAACCTTCTGCTGATTACCACACACTATCCTTCCTTGGCTACTGAAGCAGTATTCCTCCATGTTGAACAACATTTGGAAGAAGCAACGAAGGTGGCAAAGGCACAAAATGTACTCCAGGAGTGGGGAATTTCAGTGTCCACCACCAAGCGTGGCTCGGCAGCATGACTACTGATCAATCTGATTGGGTCCCAAAGGATGTAGCTGCTAGACTGGGTCTGTGACAGGTGGTGAGGGAACCAACAAGAGGGGAAAAACATACTTGTCTTCATCCTTAGAAATATGCCGACTGCAGATACATCTGAACATGACAGTATCAGTCCTTATGGAGATGAAGTCCTGCCTTCACAATGCGATTGTGTTGTGTGGCACTATCACCGTGCTAAATGGGACAGACTTTGGATCTAGCAACTCAAGACCGGGTATCCATGAGGGGCTGTAGGCCACCAACAGCAGCAGAATTATACTCTAGTATAATCTGCAACTTTATGACCCAGCATATCCCCCACTCAACCATTACCATCAAGCCAGGTTCAATGGAAACTGCAGAAGGATATGCCAGGAGCAGCACAAGGCATACCTAAAATTTAGGTGTCAACCTGGTCAAGCAACCAACAGGACTACTTGCATGCCAAACAGCACAAGCAGCAAGTGATAGTCAGAGCTAAGCGATCCACAGCCAATGGATTAGATCAAAGCTCTGCAGTCCTGCTTCATCCAGTTATGAATGGTGGTGGACAATTAAACAACTCACTGGAGAAGGAGGTGGCTCCACAAATATTCCCTCCAGAGCAAAAGATAAGGCTGAAGCATGGACAGCAATTTTCAGCCAGAAGTGCCAAGTGGATGATACATCTCAGCCTCCTCCAGTGGTCTCCAGCATTACAGATGTCTTCAGCCAATTCAATTCGCTCCACATGAAATTAATCAAGGGTTGGAGGCACTGGATATTGCAAAGGCAATTCCGGCAATAGTACTGAAGGCTTATGCTCCAGAACTTACCAGTCCCCTAGCCAAGCTCTTCCAATACAGTTACAGCACTGACATCTACCTGACAATGTGGAAAATTGCCCAGTTATGTCCTGGACATAAAAAGCAGGAGAAATCCAATCCAGCCAATTACCACCCTATCAGTCTACTCTCGATTATCAGTAAAAGAATGGAAGGTGTCATCAGTAGTGCTTTCAAGCAGCAATTACTCAGCAATAACCTACTCAGTGACGCCCAGTTTGAGTTCTATCAGGACCACTCAACTCCTGACCTCATTACAGCCTATGCTCAAACATGGACAAAACAGCTGAATTCCAGAAGTGAGGAGTGACAGCCCTTCACATCACAAAGCCTCCCCCCTTAGCAAAACTGGAATCAACAGCTATCAGGGGACCAACTCTCTGCTGGGTTAGAGTCGTACCCAGCATAGAGGAAGATGGTTGTACTTGCTGGAAGTCAGTCATTTCAGCTCCAGGACATCTCTGAAGGTGTTCCTCAGGATAGTGTCCTAGGTCCAAACATTTTCAGCTGCTTCATCTACGCCTTTCTGTTTAGCATAAAGTCAAAAGTGGAGATGTTTGCCAATGATTGCACAATATTCAGCACCATTCATGGCATCTCAGACACTGAAGCAGTCCATGTCCAAATGTAAGAAAGTCTGGACATTATCATGGCTTTGGGCTTACAAGTGGCAAGTAGCATTTGAACCACACAAATGCCAGGCGATGACTTGTTTCTAATAAAAGAAAATGTACCCACCGCCCCTTGACATGCAGTGGTGTTACCAACACTGAATCCCCCACTATCAACATGCTGCGGGTTATCATTGAACTGCCTCCCTGAGGACATTGTGGGGTCAACCTACTGCACGTGGACTGCAGAAGTTCAAGAAGGCAGCTCCCCACCACCTTCTGAAGGACAACTAGGGACGGGCAAGAAATGCTGGCCCAGCCAGGGACACCCACATCCCATGAGTGAACATAGTAAAGAAACACAACTCCATGTTTTAAGCAGTATTTCGTTTGTCGCAGCTTTCAATGAGAGGTAACGTCAATGACGGGATCGTCTTCGCGATGTGGCACAGACATTCGGCCTGTCGTATTTGTACTAACTCTTTGAAGTCATTACGCAGTGAGTCCTCTTCGCTACTTGCCAAAGTACCAGTCCCTCCCCCTGCCCTCGAAAAGAAAACCGAAAACGAGGTAAAGTTATGAAATACGAACTAAATTAAAATCCGCCAAGCGGCAGTTTCCTGGAGCTTTGTTAGTCCGGGGATTACGGGCCGCCCGGGCCCAAACTGATGGGACACCGGTTTTCCAGGTCCATCACTTCCTGCCGTCCGGGTGGAGGTGAAGGTGGGATCATCTCTGAGGCTCTGTCCTTGTCGCTGAGCTCAGGGCAGCAGGAGCAGGAGGGTCCCCACTGTCGGGAACCGGGAGAGAAGCGGCAGGGACTAACGTAAAGGTCAGACCGATGGCCCAGCAGGCCCCCCTATCCCAGACACATCCCCAACACTGTCATCTGTAATCTCCCTCAACCTGGCACCAGGCTGCGGTTGGGCTCCAACCAAAGGTTGGACCCAGACCGACACAGAAACAAACAAGCCAAAGGGTTAAACACTTGTCAGCCCTTCAGCCTTGAAGAGCAAAGGCATGCTGACCTTTTTCCAAGGTTAGATCTTTCTTTAATGCACTAACTCCATTTATGTAGAGCCTGGTGCCATCTCATCCCAAAGTGCTTTTTAGCTGTTTTAATCTCGGACTGAAAGTTGAAAGGTAAAATCTGCCATTGTTGCTGAACACACTCCAGAAGTGAAGAAACCGGCTGCAGCAATCACAAAGAGGAAGTCACTTGTTTGAATTTTCTGCTAAATGCTCATAAATCAAATTAGGAAGTTCACACATGACATAAAAAAGTTCAGTCAACCGGTACAACATTCCAGAGAATTTCCATCAAACAGACTACGACAAAGTTCAAGCAAGTGCAAGAATCATGCAGTGAATCAGTCAATTGTTAAAAGACAAAGCCAGACTCCGGCTCCTTCTTTTACCTTAGAAAGGGTTTAATGTTTGATACTTCATCGTATTGTTTGATGGTAACGTAGCATGATAGGTTGAGAGAAGTGGGTAAAGAGATTTCTTCTGAATTTATCATTTCAGTTTTTTGGTGAATGTTTCACTCATAAATGCTCAGATCAAAGTTCTTTAAGAGAGGTACCAGAGAGGAAGATGTGATACAATTCTTTACACTGTTGAAAAGATGTAGAACATTAAAGTCAGAAAAGCAGTGTGTGAGGGCAAATATTGAAATTTACGGCGGTCATTGTTATACTTATGGACAGAGCTGAGGTATCAGTAAAAATGTTCACTCAAATTGAATATCCAGACACTGGTAATCAACAATTACTTGACACATTAATTTTTAGAAATTATCATATCATTTTATATTTTTACCATACAACTTAAGCAAGTGTGTAGCTGGAGAATTTTTTTTTCAAAAATGTTTGCCCTTCTTTAATTCTCAGCAAGGGTGATTTGAATAGCAATCATGAATGGGAATATTGGCTGATATTTATTTTCCTTTCTGTTCCTAATTTAGTGGGTGTTTGAACAAGGACTTGTAAGATCTAAAAGTGTGTTTTGGCTGCCTGTTGGGTTACCTCATAGATTTTGAAAGTGTCTCTGGTAGGATTTGAACAAGCTTGTAAGGTCACTGGATTTCAGTTTGTTTGGAGCCCAGTATCAAGAACCTCAACATTAAGAATGATCTATTTGTATTTGTATTTAATGACTTATTGGTGTGCTGTTTCTGTACAACTGAGGTTTTAGCATTGCTTTTCAATTGCATGTTAACTTCTGAAGTTAGCAAAGGGAATTCCTGTTAATACATGTATGGATTCTAAATTTGACAAAGTTGCGTAATTACTGGCATCCATTGATAAGAATGCAGCAATGGAGACAAGAGCTACAGAACTTGTTCAATGTATAGCCAATGCTGGGATCTTGCTGGTTCAAAACTAAAATAAGTCCTAAATATTTATGAAACTTAAATTGATTGTGTGAAACAAATGCACATGGAAAATGCTGGAGTGACTGAGCAAGTCTGGCAGTATCTGTGGCAAGAGAAACAGTTGACGTTTTGGTCCGCTATGACTTCATCTGAAATATAAACAGTTTCTATCTCCACAGATGTTGCCAGAACAATTGGATATCTTCAGCATTTTGTGTGTTTGTTTCAGATTGCCAGCATCCACAGTATTTTGCTTTAAATTGATTGTGTGATGTTGGCTACTGACTATTTGGAAGCTGTTTGCATTTATAACTGCTAGATTGTTTTGCAGCTGTCAGTTCTTGTTGTATTCATTTTTCATTTGTATATTCCATAGCATGAAATGAACATTTTTTGCTTTTCAACTCTTTCCAAGCAGTCTTGATTTCTTAAAAGGTTTACTTCATAACATTTTATTTCTAGTCAGCAGAAATGAAGACAGGACTTTGGTTTTGGAATGCAAGAAGACATCTATTCAGCTGGCGAAACTGCACTTCTCTGCAAAAAGTCTCAGGACTCCCAGAAGGAACTCAGGCGTGGAAAACTTGCAAAATAAAAATCCAAAGATTAACATCGAGCAATAGCCATAATTATTCAAGGAGAGATTCTCTAGTTTGGCAAACCTATGTTCAACACAAAGGGGAATTGATATCATGCACCAGATATTATTCAGTCTTCAGAACTATTGTACACAGTGCAGGACATGCATCAAAACCAGGACCAGCAATCCAAGTAAGCCTGGTCATCAGCAGAACCTTTTCTTACTACAGCAGATATATGCCTGCTTGTGTTTTATCAAAGAAGCTTTCCATTCTTGAAGAGGCTTCTGACCTTTCTAGAGATTTTCACACATCTTCTCGGGACTTAGCCTTACCAATCCCTCTGCTCTGGATTCTACTAAAGCCAGTGAAGAAGCTGACAGCGATGCTTCTCGGCAGGTATACTGCAGGTTATGTAAATATTTGAACAGATTCAATGCATTCCAAACGATAATGGTGAAAAATACACATACTTTTAACATTGCACTTCTGCATCAGTAATTTGGACACGTTAGAGATATTTGCCTCTGCCTTGATAACGTTATCATAAGAGTGGAATCTAGATAGTTAAAATGATTAATTATAATGTAAAAGATGAACATTTAGCTGTAATTTTTACAATATTTTTACAATCATCCAGCCTGAGCTTGTTAATATCCTTTTGGATGCCTCTGGAGTTATTTTAATTAACATTCCAACTGTGAATGGAGAAGTAGTTATTTGTGAAAGACGAGAATTTGCATGCAGAATTTAGCAGTAGTAACAAATCTAGAAGTTATATTTTTGCTGCAAGAGATATTGGTCAGCTGTCTTTTTAGAGTATTGTATGCACTGTCAGCAAACATAGAAAGGACATAGAATCTTTACAGTGTGGAAACAGGCCCTTCGGCCCAACAAGTCCACGCTAATCATTGGAGCCACCCAGACCCATCCCCTTATAACCCATCTAAGCTACACCTCCCTGAACACAATGGGCAATTTAGCCTAGCCAATCCACCTAACCTGCACATCTTTGGACTGTGGGAGGAAACCGGAGGAAACCCACGCAGACAGGTGGAGAATGTGCAAACTCCACACAATAAATCGCCCGAGGGTGGAATTGAACCTGGGTCCCTGGCGCTGTAAGGCAGCAGCGCTAACTATTGAGCCACCGTACTGCCCACATGTGGCACAATGGTGGTGTCCCTACTTCTAGGCTTGAAAACCTGGGTTCAAGTCCCACCTGCTCCAAAGGTGTGTCACAGCATATCTGAACAGATTGATTGATTAAAATAACTAAAAGTTGTGTTCTTCTCCAGTGGAATGTAGGCTTCTGGACAGAGAAAGGGGGAAACTAAATGATAAATGTTAAAAGGCCCATTCTGGCACAGTTGAAGCATCCCCACTTGTGAACGAGGAGGTCCAGTTGTGTATTAACATCTCTGAACAGGTTTATTGGGAAATATCTAGGAAGGATATGTTCGGCATGGACTGGTTATTCAAAGGGTTTTTTTCTGTGCTGCATGACACTATGACACAAAGGCAAATATCATTGAATATCAGAAATTTAAAGTCTGAACTGTATTTAAGGAAGTTTGGCTTTTCTTCAGCTTGGAGGAGACTTTGAGATGATTTAGTTGGCATTTTAAAATGTTTACAAGGTAGTTGACAAAATGGATCAAAACGATTGAAGAGTTGAAATGAAATGAGGAATTTCCAAATTAGAAGAAGCTCAATACAATTTTTGCTTTGACTCTGTATAATAGAGTTCTGCAAGAAGTTACAAAGAAATGCCTTTGGCGTAAAGTGTACAATTTGATTCAAGAAATAGGTGGTTTTGTCTTTTTTTTTAAGAAAATGATTTTGGGATATGATGAACTGGAATTGATCTCTCGAGAAGGTACTTGCTAGAATTAGGCTAAAAAATATTCCTAATCCGAAAAACACAATATTGCAATGGAGATGTCAAGATGTGAGGAAACAAGTGGCATGGAGGTATGTCTTGAGTGCCTCATGTAATTTTGACTTTGCTGGTTTGCCTGTGGCTCAGGTAGTAATCCAGATGTTCTGCTTTTCAATTTATCTGCTAAAACTATTTAAAATCTTTGAGCAGAAGCTTCTTTCTAGTCCTACGAATTTTGTTGATACTAACATGGATGATGACTGCTGGATCATTTCCCTCCCTCTTAAGTTCTTCTCCAGCCCTGACAAGATGCCCTTAATCCCGCACCAGTAAGAAGTTATTTTTAAAAGAAGTGAGAAAATAAAACAAAAACAAAGTTGCTGGAAAAGCTCAGCAGGTCTGGCAGCATCTGTGGAGGAGGAAACAGAGTTAACGTTTCGGGTCCGGTGACCCTTCCTCAGAACCCTTCCTGAGAGAATAAAACTCTGGATATTCCCAAAAACAGAAGACCTTACTTTAAAGATTAGATGTATTTACCAGCCAGCTGCTTTTCCTGCACTCATGTCACACTGGTTCATGACGTCGTTCCACTGCTGGTCTCCCTGCAGTTAGACCTCTGGACCCATATCTTTTATCCTCTCCCACTCACCCTTACTCAGGAGAGTTTACTTCTTGCAGTAAGCCCTAGTTAAAGCACTTCTGTTCCCCTTTCCAACTAATTTCTGCTTTAACCCAAATTCCTAACAGTACAGTCAGTAATTCACCCCATCTTTGCCTCACTCTGCATTCCTACTGTGACCGTGTTCCTTACTAACCATGAGGTAACAGAATTGTCTTTCTTATAAAGATCTGTCCAAAGAGTATGTTTAGCTACAGTGATCAAGACTGCATTTGGACAAAGGAATTTGGGGGCTTGATTTCTAAAAGCCTGCATCAGGTAGCTACCTTATTTGATTAGGCTATTTTACTTACTTAATGGTGCTGTCCTAATCTTGACTTGACCTTGAAAACTGAATTTGGACAGAGTATGGCAATTGCAATTTTGCTTTGAATCAAATTTCCAACAGTGCAGCCATTAACTCACTGGGCCTTCGTCTGACACTGCTGCACTCCCACACTGACTATACTGCTTAGGGACACCCTTATTCACTAACATCCTTATTCAAAAAGAGAAGGAGGCAAAAAAACAGCTAACTATAAGCCAGTTAGCTTAACATCCGAGATAGCAAGAACTGCAGATGCTGGAGTTA